TCAGACTTTCATTCCATATATTCAGACTTTCATTCAATTTATTCAGACTTTCATTCCATATATTCAGACTTTCATTCAATATATTCAGAGTTTCATTCCATATATTCAGACTGTTACATATATATATAATTTCCTAAACGGCATGCCATATATATATATAGCTCTCTCTCTCTCTCTTATGAATCTATGAAAAAAAAATGTAATATTATATGTATAATATATGCAAAGTGTATGTAAACATCTGACCCTAACTGTATAGCAGGTTAGTCTTATTTCTAAATTACTTCAAAATTGGTATTTCAGTGGTCAAGTAACCTCTTTATTGACCAACTAAAGATACAAGTATGTCTGCATTAAGCCAATATTTAATCGTTTTCTCTTCAGAAAAAGTGAAGCTGAATAATGGAGTACTACCCAAATGACATGTCAGTGTAAATATAAGGTCAGATAAAGTTGTCTCAAAACCAGGGTTTCTACATTTACTCAGGCATTTACCATCAAATTGCATTCTATTCTCTATTCATGCCTTCCACTATTCAGGGCACATGCTACAGAGAATAAACAATACAATTTATTTAGTAATGAGCTTAGCCGCTGATTCAATGTGACACTAATGAAGACCTTTTTGTTATAACTTCCATTTTTCTCTGCTTCTTTTTTTGTCTTTGTTTTGTTCTGTTAGCTCTGGACTGAGGAAGTAGAGAAAGTAAGTACAGCAATGTTGCAAACTTTGTCCTACTGTCTATTTTTCAGCATCAATTCCTCATAATGCTTCAAACAGGCTAGGTCGTAACATGCGTTTTTCAACCATGTCTAACAAGCATTTTATATAGTTTCAACTGGCCGCGCTTAATCATACTTTTAAACACACTCAATTGTACAAAAGTAATAGAGATAACAGCACACAGTTGCAACATCTCACAAACACTTTGTTAAAGGCATATTATGGATCCATACCTCTGAATCTATCAGTTTCACAACTACTTTGAAATCCTCCCTCATAATTGCTCCTTTGTATAATTTATATCTAAGTTGTGTCTTCTGATGGTGCTGAGACATGATGACATTCAACTTTTTGACTGAAAGTTGAATGTTATCATGTGACTGAATACACAGCATGTCAGATTAATTTTTACAATGTTGTCTGCCTATTATGTTTATCAGCTGTCCTTATCTTTGAGTATGTCTGCAGAATGAATACTAGACATTAGGTGTAGCAAGCATTCTGAGGGGTATGAAGGAAAGATGTCAGTAATATTGTTCTTGTTGTTTTAGGCGGAACATGAGCTCCGAGTGGCCCAAACAGAGTTTGATCGCCAAGCAGAGGTTACACGGCTGCTTTTGGAGGGCATCAGTAGTACACATGTATGTCAACCACACACACCTTCACCACTTCTGTCAGCGTCACACTCATTTTTACTTGTATTTTATATAGGGAAAGGAATAACCTTCACTAACCACATCAGCATGATTTTCAAACTTTGACCTAATGAACTTTAGTAGTGGATGTTCTATTGTTGTTTATGGTTGCTACATTTATTCACTTTTATCTCATGCCTGTTGGTAATGGGCTGTCTTTTTTTTTTTTTTTTTTAAATCAGTCTGAAGTCTGCTTGTAGTAATTTATTTCACTTCACTATATTACGCATTCAGGTTTTATGTTAAACTATAAAGTGGAAGAGTGGTGTTTACATTTTATTGTGCTGTGATATTTTTGTTTGAAGCATACTTTCTGAAGTTACAGAAATTGAATCATGTAAATGCTGTTACTAAAAGTCACCATAAAGCAGTAATGAATGCATTTTGAGTTCATCACTCCACAGAAAACCGTAATGAATCCATCCATCCATTATCAATACAACGCTTAATCCTCATTAGGGTCGCGGGGGGACTGGAGCCTATCCCAGCTGACTTAGGGCGAAGGCAGGGGACACCCTGGACAGGTCACCAGTCTATCACAGGGCTACACTTAGAGACAGACAACCAAGCACACTCACATTCACACCTACGGACAATTTAGAATCACCAATTAACCTCAACATGTTTTTGGACTGTGGGAGGAAGCCAGAGAACCCGGAGAGAACCCACGCTGCACGGGGAGAACATGCAAACTCCACACAGAAAGATCTCGGGTGTCCTCAACGGGACGTGAACCGGCGACCTTCTTGCTGCGAGGCAACAATACTAACCACCGAGACACCTTGCAGCCCCTGTAATTAATCACTCCTGCCAAATTTGAATGATTAAAAAAATAGCCAAGTATATATGACTTTATTACAAAGTTGTATAAATGAATAAAATAAAATAAAATATGTAAAGGCCCATATTATCTAAAATAACAGTGAAAACTGATTTGATTTGAAATCATTTTAACTAAAGCAAACAGGTTAGATTTGAAATCTACAACTTTGGATAAAGAATATTTTTGTTACTTTGTAGTGATTTGCAGCAACTTAGATTCATTGAAAAGCCTTTGCTGCCAACGATGACATCAAGTGTTGGAAGGACAGGAGGGTGAAGGTTGAGGAGGGAGTCAGAAGCAGATTATCTGTGAATCTCAGTTGTCTTTAATAAAAGTTTGTGAAAATACCCGGTGTGAAATAAGCACTGCAGAGCAGGGTGCAGGGGGTGATTTCAGTTTTCCATCAGTGTGGCTCTTCATAAAATCAATCTACCTCCTCCACATCTCATCCTTTTATAGAAATTTTGAAGGAGACTGGGCTGTTCTGCAAATTCTGGCATCCAGGAAAGAGGCATTTGTTTGACTATTGCATTGCTTGTTAGCAAGCTGTAAGTCACCTGGTAATAGTGGAGCAGTTCTACTGCAGTGGCAGAACTGATCACTTGTTTAAAAAACAAAAAAGTTTTTCAGACTTAATTATATTCTTTATGTTCTGCTTTATCTGGATGAAGTTGTCCAGATGAAACAACCCAACAGTTTGTAGGACAGCTCAGATTTGCTCCAACAGTAAAAGTCTTCTTGCACACTCACACATACGAAATGTAACAGAAATAACAATCTTTATAATAAATATTAATATAAAACCATCAAAAAAACTCTTCTTCTGCATGAGTACTTTTACGTGTAATACTTTGAATACATTTTGCTGGTAATACTGTATTGTACCTATAGCTACTTAAGATCTGATTTCTTGTTTTTTTCCAGGTTTGTTTAAGAATGACTGTCGTTTTAATTTTCAGGTGAATCACTTACGCTGCCTGAATGAGTTTGTGGAGGCCCAAGCAGCCTATTATAAGCAGTGTCATTTCCACATGCAAGAACTACAGAAAGAACTGGGAAGGTGAGAGCCAGATAAGAGATGATATGAATGAATGGTTTGAGTTATAGGGCTTTACTACTTTACTGGGAATAGTCATTCATCTTTATGTGTAGAAAATGACCTGACAAGCTGACAGCTTGTGCCCTGTGTACCCAAGCTGTAGGTCTCTAGGTCAATCATTTCAGTTAGGATGTTAACAATTAACTAGTACTAAATTAGGTCACTAAGGAATATATCAACTGAAATGCCTAAAATCGACCTAACAGTTTGTGCTTTCTGTGCATGATGTGCATTTTTTCCAGTAACATGTTCAGTCCATGATACATTACAGCTAAGTGCTTTTCTATTTTACAGAAACAGCATAGTCATATGTTGTTTGACTTCACCCGAAATGTGCTAGGTACTTGTGGCCTGCAGCTCTTTGCCTAAGCAGCTCACTATGGCAGCTCTTTGTTTTGTCATTCCTCTCTGTAATATCGTATCTCAAATCTGCAAATGTTGCTCAACAAAGCATGATAGTAAAAAGATGACGTGTATGATATAACAGAGCAACAAAACCGAACAATAACTGTAAACAGGAAGATAAATAATGTTTTGTGTTCTGTTTAATCACATCTGATTTATGTTCTGTGGAAAAGCTTTATAGTTCCATTCCATTCCAATATTATTACAACCTGATTAATTCAATTATTTTTGTTGTATAAGAACAAGCACAATAAGACCAGCAGCATGAAATAATATAAAATATATAAAATATACAGTAACATTTTAGTTTTCATTCAGATAATTTGCTTATGTTTATTTGTGATTCAAATTCTGAAAAATTGCATTGCTTATGTTTTTGTTTTAATTGTATTGAATAAGCTAAATGTGGGCAAAACATGAATTTTGTACTTGATTAGCTTTTAATGATGAGTCACTTTTTGATAATTAGTATGATCAAGACATTACATAGTGTGTGGGGATGTACAGATATATACTCTACATAAAATAGATATAAAGTGAATTCTGGTCAATGTCTGATTTAGTATTTGATAAGTGTATTATTATTATTATTATTATTATTATTATTATTATTATTATTACATAATTTTAAAAAATATCTTTGTACCAGTGAGGTTGTCAGTCCACTTTTATTATGTTTGGTTTTGTCAAATCATGACAAATCATTTTTACTGTCTCATGCTCTCAGTTCTGATGAGGATGTGTGAGTACACTGTTTGTCCTGTGTGCTGCGGCAATTTATCTTTCTGTGTGTATGTGTTTTCTAACTCACACAATCACCAACTTTGTGATGTTTCCCAGAGACATTAAAGTTATGTTAAGTTATTTTTCTCTTTAAGAGCAGAATGCGATTAAGTTCTTTGCTGGCTTTTCCATCCTGTTTGTAAGGGTACAATGACCTGAGCAACCAGTGCTCTGACAATCTCGTGTGTTTCTGACCCATGTCATTCACCTTGTCCAGTTACCTGGTAATTTAGTGTCCATCTCAGTGTGCACAGTGCACAGGTGGGAGGAGAGGTGCAAAAAACTGTGTTCAGCTTGCAGAAATTAAGGATAATTTCCTGAAGAAGCATGTCTTTCTTTCATTGAGCTGTTGTTTTTATATTTTGCTGTACATATCTATGTCAGATTTATTAGACTAGACACTCTTTGCTTTATTTTTCACTGCAGCCAGTTGTTTCGTACTGACTCACTGGATGTAGGCTGTAGGTATAAGCCTGCCATTGAATGCTTATTTCAGGCCAATTTTCCTTCTCTTTCCACTGTCTGTGTGCTACTGTTTTCAAAATTTACTGCACTAAGGAAAACAACCTCTACAACAACCTCTGCGCAGCAACCTATCACACTTTGAATTTCAAGTTTTGACAAGAGTTTAGATCATGACGTATTCCCCCAAAGTTTTAAAGGAAAACTGAAGGTGCATCTTTTGCTTAGCTCTACCCCTGATGGTTGTAATTGTGCTTCAAGAAATGTTGTGTATTTAAAGAAATACAAACAAGCCAGAGCATTTTTACCCTGTAGCAGAATGATAGTAAGATGCATCCAGCCTAACATATTAGTAGTACACAAAAGGCTGGCGAAGAAAAACAAATGTGCCCAAGAGCTAACACACTGCACATTTACAGTGTGGCCCTTAATGTGTTTGACGCTTTAAATTTTATTGCAACTTTATTTGGGCCAGGAACCAGTTTTTAAACACATTGTAAATCATGTCTTCAGTCTGCAGCTTCATACTGTATGTTTTATTACATGGTCCGGTCTAGCTGTACTGGGGTTACAGCTCATACTTGTATGAACTGACGTATACCAGATTTCAAGTTGAGTGTTGATGGTGTTTTAGGATTTTTTTTTTTGGCTTGTCATTTTTATACATTTGTATTCTATATGTACTGGATTTTCAGACCATATCTGCCTACATTCCCTCAGGCTTCCCAATGCTTTTGCACTGAACTCCACCCACACTATGGCCACTCCAGGCTCTGCTTCAGATGGCAACACCAGCCCTGTGGAGACAGATACACTGAAGATTGAGGAAGTTCAAGCACCAGCTACTGGAACCCGCAAGGCCAAAGTCCTTTACGATTACGATGCTGCAGACTCCAGTGAGCTCTCCCTGCTAGCTGATGAGGTGAGAAGTACTAGTATAAGATGACGATTAGTAGTGGTAGTGGAGTAGTGGCCTTCACTGGGTCACCCACTGCTGCTATAGAACCTTGTTGGAAGCCCTGAAGAAAGTCAGCACTGTTTTTGTTTTTAAGAACTTTGGGAACATAGGGAAGGATGAAGATCTTAGCAGTCTTGTATGTGATACTGTACTTAAATTTTATGAAACAGTATTGATTAAGACAGGTAGGTATTAAGACACGCCTTTCTGAAACACTCAGAGTCTGGGGTTCTCTGTAATGTTGCATTAATGAGCCAACAATTGTTGGGTGTTGTTTTCTTTGGTGTTAAGCTCGTATTGTCTAGTTGAAGTTAGAAGTTTGAATGCAGCTTAGCCAAATACATTTGAACTCTTTTTTTTTTTTTCTTTTTTTTTTTTAACATATCCTGACATTTAATCCGAGTAAATATTCCGACCCAGGGAAGTTAGAATCCTTACTTTATTTTAAGTATGTCAAATGTCAGAATAATAGTGGAGTGAATGATCACCTTAGCTTTTATTTCTTTTATTCCTAGTAAGTCAGACGTTTACATACACTTTCTTAATATTTGGTGGCATTGTCTTTAAATTGTTTAAGTTGGGCCAAAAGATTTGCGTAGCCTTCTGCAAGTTTTTACAAATAAGTTGCTGGAGTTTTGGTCCATTCCACCTAACAGATCAGATGGGACTAAGTCAGGTTTGTTTGTAGGGTTCCATGCTTTATCAGTTCTGCCGACAATTTTTCTATTGAATTGAGGTCAGAGCTTTGCAAGGTCACTTGAGTACCTTGACCTAGCTTACCTTAGGGCCATTATGCCACAACTTAAGAAGGATGCTTTAGGACATTGTTCATTTGGAGGAGACATTTGTGATCAAGCTTTAACTTTTTTGTGGAAGCCCAAATGCAAATTTAACATAGCCACGGAATTTTCATTCCTCATGATGCCACATTTCATATGAAGCTCATCAGTCTCTCCTGCTGCAAGCACCCCGACAACATGATGCTGCCACCACCATGCTTCATTTCTCACAGGCCTCACCCTTTTTCGTCCAAGCATAATGAGGTTCAGCATGTCCATCCATCTAGTATAAAGTATATAAAGTAGATGCTCTCGGAGTACTAAGTTGAAACTTAAAGACAGGGTTAATAATTTCGTTTTAATGACTTCAACCTAAGTGTGTGTAGACTTCTTACTTTGACTGTAAACAGGAGAGAAGAAATTCAAAGGATAGTGTAAAGAGGGCCACTTCTTGGAACACACATCCAGGACTCAAACAGCCAAGCTTGAGAATAGTTTTGTTTAGCGAACTAGCAAAAGTACACAGATTGGCAGATGTGGCACTGCATTGCTTGCTCATGTGATAAGTGCCAGCCTTTTAATACACCACCATAGTGACAGATTACTGTCATAGCATTTTTTATTTAGTTATTTATTTTTACAGGTTTTGGTGCATTATATTTCTACTCACAGTGTCAGAGATTCAGCCAATAAAGTTGTAAATCAAAGTGTACATATACAAACTGAAATTTCCATAAAAATAGAACTTAACTGCCATGGAGACAAAACAGGTTGAATTAATGAGACTTACCTATAACAACTGTAATACAGGCTTTACCAAAATAGGGACTAAGGTTTAGTTTGCTGCTTCCAGCTGTTTGTAGGTGTCTTTCCTGTGTAATACCTGCTGCATGAAGCAGTAGCAGGATCCTTATAAACCTCTTTATAGCAAGAGAGCTGTGCATATTTCTGCACATGGAACAACAGCAATGACGTCAATAAATACTTAGAATGATAAACTATCCACAACATGTAGAAATGATTAGTCAGGATCTAACCACAGGTCACACTGTGTACTTGACTTAGACAGATGAGTCACAGTTTAACAGAAGCAATTAAATCATTTGTTATGCAGCATTCTCAAGTTGGATCCTGAGCACCATCACAGCAGTCTGGATATTTTTTATCTTAGTGTTAGTACAATAGTAGAAAGATTAGCAGAATTTACTGTGTTTAGAAAATTATAAACAATTTGGTGCTGCTATTAGTTCAGATTTAGTCTTTTGTTTATGAGTACTTGGTATTATACATGACTTACTAGTGTCTAATCTCATGTCTATGACGAATATCATGACAAACAATGTTGTACTGTGTGTGAATGACAGTGTGCTGTCACTTTACCAGACTGATGATGCAGCAGTGCTCTGTATCCCATGGCTAAAAAGGCCTGTAGGCTTATTGCATCACTAGAGTATGGAGGTAACAGACGTTTTTACATCTACTTATAAAAAGTATTCACCGCAATTTGTGTTTTTTAGTTACATTATAAATCCCAGAGGATGAATTAAACCTTTGACACAGAAAAAAATTACTCTACACTTTTTTCTGAAAGTTATATTGTCTTCAGAATGCTACATTTCTAAGAAAATTGTCTGACCAGCTTCCTGAGAATGGAAAAACTCGTCACGCTATAATGAATACAACCAACCTCAATTCACCCAGACTTCTCTTTAAGTGGGAGAGGGTGATGACAAGTGCAGTGCCTTTCAGTCTGATGAAGATAAATGTTTTGGGTTCCTGTGTGTCTTTTACTTGTTAATGGAAGGTATGGGTTACACTGATTTGTGAAAAGGAAATTATGAGAAGCTGTTTTTTTTTTTTAAGTGGTTCCATGCTTTTGGAAAATTTCAAAGGATGGAGATGCCTGATAAAACACGATGATTGTGATTCAGAGCTAGTAAAAAAAAATCTGACAGGACTTTGATCAACATTGGAATGTTTATTGTGTTTATTATAATAAAACATGATACAGTAGACGAAATATGTAATGCAAAAAATCTTAACTGAGTTAAAGATCTGCTGACGTTGGTAGCGTGGCTTGGCTTTCGGTTAGCTATTTCCTCTGTAGTGTTGTTGGAGTTTTTTTTTAGCAAAAATATGTGTGACCTTTTCACTAGAAGTTTCTGTTGAGTCACTTACTCAGCTTTAATTACTTTCAGTCTTTTTTGGTTTTGTTTTCTTCATGCCACTTACAGTTCAACACCACCTAAAGCCAAGTGGACCAGATGTTTCTTGTAGGGAGGAAATGTCTCAGTGTGGGCAGTAATAATGTCTTCATTCCAAACACATTTTTTTGAATTCTGTTAGTGATAGTTCCTGTAGAACCTGTAGTTAGCAATTATCTTGGCCAACCCATTTTTACCAGTGAAGTTGGGCTAAATAAGGGAAACACATATCTGAATAAGGCCTGTGTTATCCACAAGTGTGACACACATTTTATCATTTATCCAAGTTCACAAGAGTCCACATGGACTACACTCCATGCGTATACATGGAATATAAATATAGGACCATCTCCATATATGGAATGGGGACCTCCATGTGGGCTGTAATCAGTGTTTACCCTTCTAAAGCCCAAATAGTTTTAGGGTGTTTTTTGCTCCTGTTACATTTTTACTCACTGTGGGCTCATTTTTCACCTCAATTTAAAGTCCTGCACTGCTATAAAAACAACACAACCATGACTAGAAAAGAGAGAGAACTCAAAATGTCTTTAATGCAGCCTATCTTAATTATAATTCTATAAATAATCCCAAAAGACTTAACAAAAGTTGAATTTGTGCGTGCGTGCGTGCGTGCGTGCGTGCGTGTATGTAAACCAAAACTGTTCCACTCATCAACCCAGGAAAGATATTTGTCCATGCTGAATGTATATTCCAACAACTTTGTCCTCTGTATACTGTTTGTGAGCAATTCTGCATTTATTTTATTGCTCAGCCTACAGTTCACCTGAAAACTCTCTGAATTCTTGTTGTATGATTGCTAGTTGTGGCCGAGTCAGTTATGGCTACTCAGTTGGGCTTGGGATCACAGATTTTTTTTAAATTTTTTACATGACCAAATATTTAAATAAGACTTGTAGAGTAAAGGGATTGTTGATGAAATCTCATTCTGTTTTTACAGGCTCTGGTTCTGATAAATGGTGTGTAGCGTGTATTGTATTGTGACATTAATGGTGGTTCTTCCTGAGAACGAGTGGGTTTTCCCGTTCTGTATAGTGTCCAAGGTGGCAGTTTTGTGGTGGGATTAGGTCTAGAATTTAAACAAAAGAGTGCTTGTTACCTGGTTTGCCCCCTCGCTTGGCATTCCAGAGAGAGCCAAGCTGTGTCTGCAGGTGTAATCTTGACATTTAAATTGATAAATTTTTTAAAAAATCTACCTTTCATACCCAATGGCGTGTTTTGGGGTTCAGAGGGTAAAGTGTTTTGTGCTTGTTGACCTTTGTTGTGACTGCACAATTTTAATGATGATAATCTTAAAAGTTTGCATGTTTTCTGTGTTTCAGCTTATTACAGTTTACACAGTGCCGGGAATGGACTCTGATTGGCTGATTGGAGAGAGAGGAAACCAGAAAGGAAAAGTGCCTGTCACATACCTGGAGCTTCTCAGTTAGAGAACACACGTGCATGCATGTGCATGTGTGTGAGTGGGCACAACCGAAGCCACGAAGATTTTTCCCAAGCTTACACTAACCTGTAACCCTCAATAACACTCCTCCACAATACGCATTAGCAAAACTGTTAAGTTGAACACATACACACACATGTAATTTGTGTGCTTCTCCAAACACACTGAAGTACATTCATACCACACGAACAGCAGTGAAAATGGGAACACTGTTACAATGAGTACCAGAAATCCCCCGTACTTGAGGGTTAGCATTCCTTTTAGATTAGCTGTGTGATTTATTACTATGATGGTTTTTTTGTTGTTTGTTTGTTTGTTTTCTTTTCTATTTATTGTTGTGCATCCCAAATATACCCTGACATGACCATGCTTGTACAAAGCAGCGGTGCAGATAAAAAAAACAACATGCAATTACATGTCCTTAATTCTCTCAGTTGACGTGGTGATGTTAAGTCCCCCAGAAGAAGCCAAAACTTATTTAACTACTTTATTTTGAGTTGATGTCTATTTCCAGCAATTACCTGGTGTGGATGGGGAAAAGACATTCATGGCACTTTATGGTTAATTTTAAGTCCATGTAGAAATAGTAAGGATGTGACTGTTCTCCAGTTTTAGTACAGATATCCATTTTGTTCATCCCCTTTTTTCTATTAAGATGAGAACAGAGTTGCTTTGATCTTTTTTTTTTTTTTTCATTTTGAATGAAACCCCTAAATATGACAAATATTAGATAACACTGGAGAACTATTAAAAATAGTAAAACTTTTTTTTGTTTGTCATTGACTCATGGTAGAAAGTTTGCCTTAACTGCTAATTGAAATGAATGTAATACCCATCTTATTTTAAGTGACAATAATTTCTTAGACAGTGGATTGGAACATTTCTGGAAGTTGTTTGCTTGATTGATTTTTGGCATGATTCCTTTTTTTTCTCCCACACCTTTTTTCAGCTCAACTTTGAACAATATGAACACTTGTGAAGCAAATAAACATGAACACTCTCATCCTAACTGCCTTAAGATGATGAGGGGGAAGTGCTAAGACCATCTGCTGCAAGTCACAGAATGTGCTCCTCACCACCCAAATGTCCACAGATTTAATGTTCACCACAGCCAGCATGCAAGACTGTAACTTAAATTAGATTTGTGTGGTTTGCCCTTTAATGTTTTTTTTTGGAGATTTACAGCGTATCTGTTTGTTTGTTAAACCTATGAAGTGTCTTCAGTCTCTCAGCTGCATGTGCGACAGCTATTGGTCTGTCCTGCTCGACATGTATGTGTGTGTAAATTGTGTAGCTAAGCCTGTTTGTGTGAGATCTCAACATGTTTGCACAAAAACTAATGTGCTCTCTCACATCCAATATGTGTACATGCATGCACTGTCTTTTTTGTTATCCAACCAGGTGTTTTGTGAAATGAGCATAATTCTTTTACTTTGCAGGACACATGGCAGACAGATGAGAATAGGATGTAATAGGTCATGGTGGCAGAATGTATTGGACATTATGTGGCCTACCCTCTTCCCTTGTGCTCATTCCACAAATCTGAGATTTTTTTTTCTTTTCAAAAACTTTTTTTTTTTTTTTTACAGCTCTTGTTGTGATTCTGTTGTACCTCATTTTGTATTATATTTTTTTTGTCTGAATATGTTATTGCCTGTTCCCTGCTGAATGAATGGAATGTATGGGGTTTAATAAAAAGTCTGAGTAATTTGAATTCATGTACTTTTTCCACAGCTATCATACATACTTATGATGAAAACCATCTGTATGACCACCATGGTTAAAAGTTGGAGCCACTGCAGAAGTGCCTTAAACAGCAGTTCCTCTAAATGGGTGTAAAATACAACAGTAAACTGACAAAATGTAGCATTTATTCTGCAACATTATTTTAGTTTCTATTGCAAAATGATTCAGTGGATTTGAAAGCTACTGTTCTATTAAAGACAAGTCTGTGCTGTGGTAATTGTCTGCAATTCCACCTTGGCTCTAGTCAGAATTTCTAACATTTTTGCCTAAATTTGGTTATTTCTGACACCAACCTTACAGAAGGCAGTAAAATCTAACTCAAGATTTAAAACCACAGTTGCAACTTGCACATTGTTGTGAGTGACTTATTCACCTCAGTTCTAGTGGGGAAATGGCCAGGAGAAAAGCACTTACAGTTGTGAACAAAAGTTGACATACTCTTAACTTCTCATAAGTGGTTATGATTAACTACAGCTGGTGACTACTCTAACCAAGTCAAAAAAGTAGGCGGTTTTTTGTTTGATGCATTCATTGGACTTAACCACAAATGCAATGGGAAGGTCAAAGGGAAGGTCAAAGGAGCTCAGCACAGATGTAAAAGAGCCAATCACTGACTTGAACAAATAGTCAGGAAGTTCATATGGAGCCACGTCAAAGCAGCTACAGATCCCAAAACCATCTGTACATACAGTTGTTTGTAAGTATAAAGTGCATGGCACTGTTGTGTCATTGCCACAATCAGGAGAAAAAAAAGGTATCACCTGCCGCAGCGAGACAATTGGTCAGGATGGTAAACAGTCAACCAATAATCACTAAACGCAGGTCTGCAATGAACTGAAAGCTGCTGGCACACAAGGTTCAGTGTCCACAGTCAGGTGTGTTTTACATTGGCATGAGTTGAGAGGCTGTCATGCAAGAAAGAAGCCCTTCTTCCAGAATAGCATCTTAAGACTCAACTGATGACATGGGTAGAAAAAAACAAAAAAACAGGCCTTCTGGAGGAAAGTGCTGTGGTCAGATGAAACAGAAAATGAGCTATTTGGCCAAAAATGTTTGTCAGAGAGAAGGTGAAGCCTCTTACCCCAAGGAAACCATACCTACTGTTCAGCATGGTAGTGGAAGTATTATGCTCTGGGGCTGGCCAAGAAAAATGTAACCAAATATGAGTAATCCATCCATTATCTATACACCGCTTAATCCTCATTAGGGTCGCGGGGGGGCTGGAGCCTATCCCAGCTGACTTAGGGCGAAGGCAGGGGACACCCTGGACAGGTCGCCAGTCTGTCACAGGGCCACATTTAGAGACAGACAACCAAGCACACTCACATTCCCACCTACGGACAATTTAGAATCACCAATTAACCTCAACATTTTTTTGGACTGTGTGGGAGGAAGCCGGAGAACCCGGAGAGAACCCACGCTGCACGGGGAGAACATGCAAACCAAATATGAGTAATGCTGTATGTATATTTTCGGCCTAGCAATTTTCATTATAGCTCCAGACTATGATAAATTTATGAAAGAACCAAAGTGCGTTATTGTTCACTTATGACAAAGACGCTTCAAAAGAAGCCATGTGAAAGTGCAACGGTCACTTCGAACGAAATGGGGCCTACGACACTACTTATTAGGTACTTGCAATGCAGGCTTGATATTTTTCCTCAGAGAGTTTCACCACCATTAACATTGTGAATTATCCAATCACCGGGCAGTTTCACAATCATTCACACCTGGAGGCATTTGAGTCTTGGGTTGCTAATGAGCCATGAGCCATGTGATTAGGCGGTCACAATACATATATGGAACTCCCTATCACTCAAACGTGGGGAAACATAAACAGTAACATAAAACATTCAAACACAACGGTGGAGCAAGAGCCTAAGCACAATATGTTAAAGTGCTACAAAAGTTCAATTAGCAGTGCCTTGGATTAGAGCCAATATGATACTTTAAGAAGCACAAAGAGCGGTACAGTTGCCTTTTTACTTATGCTCTTCGGATTTGCTTAATGATGGATTACCTGCAAAATAATAACATTTCCATTGTCATGACTCAGTCTGCCTACTATAGGCCAGTGATGATCAGGCAGCATCGTCAAAACATATAGCCAAAATAACAATCCTTATCTAAATACTCCAGGTCTTCAAAAAAGATATGCGAGGAGGGAAAACAATCTTCAGTCTTCAGAGTCTGATGTGAATAATGTTTATTCAATACAGAGGCTGTACGAACAAACATGAGCAAAATCTCGAGATAAGGCTAGCTAACAATGCATTACATGTCCTTATATACATTTGCGAACTTCGTCCAACTCCCCTCCTTCCCTCGAGAAAACCCAACCTTTTTTATACTCATCAGAGAGTCCATAGTCAGCATTATTTCTCGCTTAGCATTGTGTAATTTAAGATATTGTAGTTGCGCTGCTTCCCTTCTCCACCTTAGCGATGGGGTTCTCGTTGCCTTCCCGGGCACCATCTTCAGCATATCATTTCAAGGCCATGGTGTCCTTATCTGAGCTCACACACAAACGCAGAGCAAGGGGGAGCACAAATGCATCAGGCCTGCTGCAAACAGGCCTCAGGCTTCTTTAGATTTTTATTGGATTGGGTTTTTCACAGGTTTGTTCAGTATATTCATAAATTTAGTTTACACATCATATTATTAAATCTCATTATTTATTTATGCTCAAATCTTACACATATTTGTTATCTTATTGTATGCTTAAACCTTATTTTAAACATCCTAATCAACTCTACAGTTTTGTCTTTTGTTCAGTTCTAAAGAATCCCACAACATTTCTATCATCCTCAAGCAGACTTTCTCACGTGGACAAAATTGTTGGTACCCCTCGGTTAATGAAAGAAAAACCCACAACGGTCACAGAAATAACTTGAATCTGGCAAAAGTAATAATAAACAAAAAATTCTATGAAAATTAACCAATGAAAATCAGACATTGCTTTTGAACCGTGGTTTAACAGAATTATTAAAAAAACAAAAAAAAACAAAACCTCATGAAACAGGCCTGGACAAAATGATGGTACCCTTAACTTAATATTTTGTTGCACAACCTTTTGAGGCGATCACTGCAATCAAACAATTTCTCTAACTGTCAATGAGACTTGTGCGCCTCTCAGCAGGTATTCTGGCCCACTCCTCATCAGCAGACTCCTCCAGTTGTCTCAGGTTTGAAGTGCGCCTTCTCCAGACGACATGTTTCAGCTCCTTCCACAGATGTTCAATAGGATTTAGATCAGGGCTCATAGAAGACCACTTCAGAATAGTCCAGTGTTGTCCTCTTAGCCATTCTTGGGTGTTTTTAGCTGCTCTGTGTTTTGGGTCATTATCCTGTTGCAAGACCCATGACCTGCGACTGAGACCAAGCTTTCTGACACTGGGCAGCACATTTCTTTCTAGAATACCTTGATAGTCTTGAGATTTCATGGTACCCTGCACAGATTTAAGACACCCTGTGGCAGATGCAGCAAAGCAGCCCCAGAACACAACAGAGCCTCTTCCATGTTCCACAGTAGGGACAGTGTTCTTTTCTTGATATGCTTCATTTTTGCGTCTGTGAACATAGAGCTGATGTGCCTTGCCAGAAAGTTCCAGTTTTGTCTCGTCTGTCCATAGGACATTCTCCCAGAAGCTTTGTGGCTTGTCAACATGCAGTTTGGCAAATTCCAGTCTGGCTTTTTTGTAATTTGTTTTCAACAATGGTGTCCTCCTTGGTCATCTCCTATGAAGTCCACTTTGGCTCAAACAATGACAGATGGTGGATCTGACACTGATGTACCTTGACCTTGGAGTTCACCTTTAATGTCTTTAGAGGTTGTTCTGGGCTCTTTTGTTACCATTCGTATTATCCGTCTCTTCGATTTGTCATCAATTTTCCTCCTGCAGCCACACCCAGGGAGATTGGCTACAGTCCCATGGATCTTAAATTTCTGAATATGGGCAACTGTAGTCACAGGAACATCAAGCTGCTTGAAGATGGTCTTACAGCCTTTACCTTTAACATGCTTGTCTATAATTTTCTTTCTAATCTCCTGAGACAACTCTCTCCTTCGCTTCCTCTGGTCCATGTTCAGTGTGGTACACACCATGTCACCAAACAGCACAGTGACTACTTGTAACCCTATAAATAGGCCGACTGACTGATTACAAGTTTGTAGACACCTGTGATGCTAATTAGGGGACAGACCTTGATTGAACATGTCCCTATGGTCACATTATTTTCAGTCTTTTCTAGGGCTACCATCATTTTTGCCCAGGCCAGTTTCATGAGTTTATTTTTTTAAATAATTCTGTTAAACCACAGTTCAAAAGCAATGTCTGATTTTCATTGGTTAATTATCATAGAATTTTTATTTATTATTACTTTTGTCAGATTCAAGTTATTTCTGTGACCGTTGTGGGTTTTTCTTTCATTAACCGAGGGGTACCAACAATTTGGCCACGTGTGTAGATATTAGCAACCGACACACTAATATAAGATAAATGTAGGACCTTTCTGAAAGCTCTCCGAGTAGAGTGCACACACCAAATCTGTAAAACAGCAGCCTAGGCCCTTCACTGCATGTAATACCCATCTCTCTTTTTTTCCCTCTTTCCTGTCACTCTTCACCTGTCTCTATAATAAAGGCATAAAAACTCAGAAAATAATCACAACATAAATAAAGAAAATTATTGCAGGGTTGCCAATTCTCACACTTACAGTGCTCAAACAAATTTCAAATTTCATAAATAAGTCTTTCTCTGCATACAGGACAAAGTGCGAACACTTCAGACTAAGGATTGGTCCACAAATGCTACAGATGGCACAAAAAACAGCTTGCATGGTTTTTATCAATGGAGGTGCACACACACAGACCTCTCCAAAACCATAGTTTTACAGTCATGGAAAAAAATTGTTTTCTTCAATGTTTATTTTAATGCCTGGTACCACTAAAGGCACATTTGTCTCAAG